TCACCCAGTTCTATGATACTGTTCTACGGTTCTGTTTTGCAGGCTGTTCTCCCTGTGTTAGACTAAAGAATTTCTTTACCAAGGTCTTTGTGGTTTCTCCCCTCTCTGTATCCTTTATTCTGTTGTTAAATTTGTCCCTATATTTTCTATTTTAGTATTTTTGGCTCTACAATTTTTGCTTTAATTTTCTTTACATTTTTCTATTTCTTCATTAAGGCTCTATCTTTCTTTCTGGTTTTTGGAGACAGCATCTGACTATATATCCTTGGTTGACCTGGAACTCACAGAGATCCACCTGCCTGTCTCCTGAGTGCTGGGATTAAATGTTGTGGGCCAGCCTGCCTGGCTCTTTGTCAGATAATTCTAATGTCACTGTATTCTTCTTCCTCCTCCTCCTTCTTTAAGACAGATCTATTTATTTTGTTTCGTGTAAGTGTTTTGCCTGCGTGTATGTATGTGTACCACCTACATGCTTCTTTAGTTTTTGAATACTTTTCTGCTGTATCCATGATATTTGGGGTATTGTGCTACAAGATTTAGGATAGTTTAGGTCCTCTCTTTTGGAAGACTTTTTCTGAAAGCATGCTGGCAAGATGAGTGGAGGAGGGCAGACACACCCTACCACTGCCAGTTTGATAGAGAAGTACAAGCCCCTGGTATTTTCCATTGACACTGAAAAGAGGTGTCAGAGGTAATAAAATTGTAGGCATTATCCTAGAGAAGAAGGGATGAAGGACCTTACTCTAACTAAGAGTAGAAGTCTAGGCTCCCTCTTAGGTCTTTGTTGGCATGACAGTGGGGTGGAATATAACATAATTTCCTTTGATTTTTTTGCTGATTTAACCAGTGCTTGCCCGAAAGTTTTCTGTATTCTATGTTGCCCCTTCAGCTAAAGAGAGCAGTGTTTTGATGGAACATTTTTGTTGTTTTGTTCTGGGCCATTGGTATTTCCAGTTTGTTGAGTCTTCAGTTTGAAGTGTGGGATATGTAAGGACAAAGGAAACCCAGAGAATTCCTCATTATGCCATTCCTTCAGTTCCAAGGTCCCTGCTTAGTCTGTTTGCTTCCTAGCAGAAGCCTCTTCTGTTTGTTTTTTGTGTGATGTCTGGGATGTTTAGCTATGCTGGGAAGAACGTGAACAATGTGTCTACTGCATCTTCCCAGAAGCAGGAGTATCACTAGGCCCTTTTTATAATAGAATTATATTTTAATTACTAGGAGTTATTAATAGCTCAAGGAACTCGGAACTTAATCATTTCTCAGTTAATAATAATTCTTTAATTTATTATTTTATAAATTAAGGCCTTTTATAAGGGTTTGCTTTAAGAAATGTCCTATAGATTATTTTCATATTTCTGAATGTACTGTATCTGTCCCCTTTCAACATTTAAATTAAATTCTAATAAATTATTACTTTAAAAAGATTTTCCTTAATGTTAACCTGGAGATGCTTCAAAGGTGACAATTTCTTAAACTGTCTAGTATTAAATAGAAAGAAGAATTAGGGCTGGAGAGATGGCTCAGTGGTTAAGAGTACTGTTTGCTCTTCCTAAGGACCCGAGTTCAAACCCCAGTACCCACGTGACAGCTCACAACTGTCTGTAACTCCAGGCCTGACACCATTGCACATAAAATAAAAAAATAAATAAATAAATAAAAGATTGTTTAAAAAAAAAAAGAAAGAAAGAAGAATTAAGGAGAGGAGTGGGTAAGGGTAAGACCACTGTGTCTTTTCCAAAAGTACAACAGGAAAAACGGTTCTCAGAAGTATCCTACTTGAAAGCTTGCCTACCCAAAATAATATTACTTCAGCTATCTATATAGCATTAGTAATTATTACTAATAATTAAGAAAAACAATTATCAATAAGTTATTACTAAAATAACAAAAAGTATCAATAAAGATTGCCTAATGATATTTGTTAGTTTTGAACATCCAGATCTAATTTTTTCAAAATCATTCCCCCCCCAGGCAAATATGTTCTTTTACATTAATTAATGTCTAGCAATACTTTTATCTACTGCACTGTCATGCCTAGCTTCTGCTACTGAACTCCTTATATGCTTCGTCTGTCCTGTCTAAGAGAGAGAAAGTGAAGCTCGGAGGACAGAAGAAAAAGCGTGCAGCGTGCAGGAGTGGGAAAGCCGGCATCTGGAAGTGGGTTTTGGAACCCAGAGGCTCCCACTGGTTTCAGTGACGCTTGCTACATGGGACAGACCAAACAACTCTTCTTTCCAAAGTGTCTATTTTCTCACTGTAGCCCTGTTTTGTAACGTTAATGTTCTTGTCTTTGCCAACTTTTTCTCCCGAGGGGGAAAAAATAGGAATTAAAGAATATAAAGGTTCTGAGGTTAAAAGCAAAGTTTATTTACCATCTTAAATTTCAAAATATGTCATTGAAAAATGCCAACAACTCTGCAGAGTTTTACCACATGAAATGTAAAGAGAAAATACCACTGAATAGCCATTATCATATGCACTAAGGGTAAAAAAAAAAACAGGAAAAAAATTAAGTAAGCCATGTTAATAAGTCTTAAGGTGAAAATGAGTTACTACTTAAGACATATTTCAAATTAAATATAAAAGATGAAGACAAAGGCCACCTGTAAAAGCATCTCTACCTAGAGCTACTTGATAGTAACATTTCACTTGAGTATTATGAAAGAGTAGATTCTTGGTTTACTGCATCTCGATGTTATAATATCTGATAACCAATAATTTTTTTCATTAAAAATTTGAGGGAATAAATCCTCTTACATATACTAATTAATCCTCAATCTTTCCTTCTTCCAATTAACTCCACTTATTCCTAGAATATTATTTAAGTGAATTCATATAAATTGCTTAGTAGGTCTTTTTGATTGTTTGTTATTTTTGTTTTTCCAGACAGGGTTTCTCTGTGTAGCCTTGGCTATCCAGGAGCTCACTCTGTAGACCAGGCTGGCCTTTGTCTTCCCAGTGATGGGATTAAAGATGTGTGCCACTACCGGCTGGCTTGGTAGGTCTTATAACTATCATTAGTTGCTAATCTTTCAGATTCGTTTTAGATTTACTTATTTTATGTATATGAGTGTTTTGCTGACATGTATGTCTGTATACCATGTGTGTGACTGGTGTCTGAGGAGATCAGAAGAGGTCATTGGAGTCCCTGGAGCTGGAATTATGAACAGGTATGCCCTACCATGGAACACAGGCCCACTGCAAAAACACGAGCTCTTACTCACTGAACCAAACATCTCTCCAGCCCCTTCTAGATTTTAACAATATTTTATTTTTTTAATATCTAGCAATGTAAAATTCAGTTACCATAATCCCGATTTATACAAGTCCTTACTCTACAATGCAACCTTTTAAGTACAAAAATAAGATTTATGGGCTGGAGAGATGGCTCAGTGATTAAGAGCACTAGTTGCTCTTCCAAAAGACCCAGGTTCAAATCCCAGCATGGCAGTTCACAACTGTAATTCCAGTTCCAGGGGAGCTGACACACCACACAGGTATACATGAAGGCAGAACACCAATGTAAATGAAATATAATAATAATTTTAAAATAAAATTTGTTTGCATTTTCCTTGCAGTGAATTTCCTTGCAGACCCACCAAACTATAGAGGAAGGTTTACGTTAAATCATTTTTCTTAGAAACTTATTTCTTCTTAGAAAACTCCTTTCCAAGAACACTACTCTATCCATCTCTTATTAACATTATAAAATGTTGATATGTATATTTTTGTTATTTTACTTCATATTTTATTGAGACAAGATTTCTGCATAGTCTTGGCTGTCCTGGAACTCACTCTGTAGTCCAGAACTAGAACTCAGCAATCTGCCTGCCTCTGCCTCCCAAGAGCTGGGACTAATGGTGTGTGTCACTATGCCCAGTCCTGTTTTTTGTTTTTTTAATATTTTCCCTTTTAATTTTCAAGTTTATGAAGATAAAAATCATTTTAGTCTCAAACTCTGAGTTAAACTAATTGTAATACTAGTATTACAGGTGAAGATTCTTAAGTTTCTTAACAAATAAGCTGCAAATATTTAGCATTTTCTAGAATTAGGTATTATAATTGTATCTATAAAATGATGAAGAGCAATAACTGCTTAAACAAAAAGTAACAATAAGGCAGTTGAAAATGCTGATATTTTTTTATATACAATGGTTATGTGAGGATAATTCTCACTGGCAACTCACCTTAGGAAATAGGACCACTTTCCTACGCACGTTTAAAACACTGATACAGTAAATCTGTGTGGAAAACAATCCCCGTCCTCCGGCGGGGAAGGAGGACGATTCATATCTATTCATTACCATCATTACAACTGGGTTTAAATGTCTACCTCTCCCATTATAGAACATGTCCAGCTTGAAAGTACAGGACTTGTCTCATGGTGGCTGCATAAAGAGAGAAGGGTTCATTGTCGTCCACCTCAAAAACTAGTTTTATATTAGAAACATGCCCAGAGAAGTAAACTTAGTTCCCTAAATAATTTCACTTGGTTTCTAGGGTAGCTTGGTGCGACCTCAGCACGTCTCACCTAGGCCTGGCTGGTACCAAGCGGGCAGTGGTCCGCCCACACCCGTCTTGTTCCGGGGAGGCTGCAACCGTGGGACTGTGGGATAAGCGGTGTCGCAAGGCGGCCGCTCGGGGGCCGCAGTGGGGGTCAGCGGGGTCACCGGGGCACGTCGCCTCCAGGAAGGGCCCTGCGCCTAGCCATTCCCACTCGCGGGCGGCCCCGGGCCACGGTAGCGACCGAGCCCCGGGCTGGGCGGGCGTCAGGGCGTGCGAGGCGGGCGCAGGGCCGCGGCCAAGGGCCCGGGAGCCCGCGGACCAACGGCGCTCGGGGAAACCGCTGGCGCGCGCCGCCGCTCGCAGGCCCTCGGGCCGCAGGCCGCCGCCTCCCAGCCCCGCCGCCGTTGCCAAGGCGACCGCCGCCGAAGATTCCCGCGCCGGGCTCCGCCCCCCGGCCAATCGGACCGGCGCTCGCCCGAGCCCAGATTCTCTTTGTTCCGCAGCCATTTCAGGCCCCGGACGGGAGGCAGCGCCGCTTAGGCAGGAGGCCCGAGCGCCGGAGGCCTCTGGGATGGTGTGGGACCGGGTAGGTGGCGTGAGGGTGCGTGGCCGGGGCGGAGGGGCGGAAGCGGCCGGGCGAGCCCCGACCCGCCGCCGCGCCGGGGGCCGCCGCGCTCGGCTGCCGTCCTCCCGGCCCCGGCCCCGGCCGTTTGGAGCCCGCCGGCGACGGCGCGGTTCTAAGGCCAACAGCTGCCGTCCGGGCGCCCTGCGGGAGCCGCCAGAGGGGCGGGCGGCGCCCCGGGGGCGGGAGGTCGGGCCCGGCGCGGGAGGGAGGCGGCGGGGCGAGCCGGTGCGGGGCCGCTCAGGCCGCACGGCCGAGGGCCCGCGGTCGCCGGTCTTTGTCAGGGAGCCTCGCCCCGCTCGGTGTGTGGGCCGTCCGGCTCCCCCGGGGGCCTCGCCGGCCTCGCGACGCGTCCACTTCGTTTCACTGCTCGTCACCTCGGGTCTTGCTTAGGTCTGGCGCGTCCTGCCTCTGGGTGCTGCCGTCCGCCGCGGGGGAACGGCTGCCCAGGAACAGACCCGCCGCCGCGATCAAACCGGCCCTAGAGAGGCTTTCTTCCTCGTTGAGACGATCTCGCGGTGTTTTAATTTTTTTTTTTAAATCACGTGGGGTTTGCAGGGCTTGTTTACAGTTTCACTTTGTTAGGCCGGTCGCAAATGAGCTGCTGTAACTGTAGAAACGGAGTTGGAGGCTGTCCGCTAATTGGGGAGATTGTATTAAGAAGCTTAGCGTGCCCTGCTCTAAAACAGTGATGGCTTCAGTGAGTACGCAAGCAGGGCCTTTCCTCCCGAAGAAAAGACGCTTCTTAAATGCAAGCTGTCGAGTGAAGTCAGGATTTGGGACTGACTTGTCTGCAGTATGCCTCTTCGGATGTGTTCATCTCTAGGATACCGAAAGTACCTGCTGAGAAACTTTCACTTAAGAGTGGTTTGAAAAAAAAAAAAAAGTGACCTTAATGAAGTAGCGCAGGGTTTGGTGTTTTGGGACAGGTAATGGTTTCTACTGCCCCCTCCCCCTGCATCTCAGTTGTTGTAGGGAATGGCTGTCCTAGGTGAAAACTTGCAACAGCGAAGGAAAAATACTGGTTTAGAGGCGGCAGGTTTCTTTAAGATCCTTAGCACTTCAGTGTGTGGGTGAACAATGGTTTGTCAATTTTACTTGAGCCCGTGTAAGCCTCTTGAGTGTTTTTTGTTTTCCTTTTCTGAAAAGGGTCCTCCGCCATCCTTAGCCTTGCGTACGTCCATCGTCACTCTGGTTAGGAATTACTGAATTCCTCCCACTGAAAGACCTATAAAAAATATTTTTTTGTACTTCTACCTCCTTTCCTGAAAGCCTTTTTGTCATTATACAACATGAACAATAGAATTTTGGCTGAAAACTGTATTATCCCAGCTGTGACTATTTTCAGTATCAGTATTTGTTATAGTCATTGTTTTCATGACTGATTTTCCTTACTTATATAATGTTAAAGTGATTGTGTGCATTCAGTTTTGTTAAAAATGGAATGAATTGAATTGAAATGTGGACATGCTATATTTAGAGAACTTTCTTATATTTGTTAACCATATTGGCAGGGTTTTGTTTGTTTGTTTGTTTTTATGAAAAGAAATCATAAGAAAGCCAAATCAAGTTACACATGGAGCAAGTTTAATCCCAGGACAGCCAAGGCAGTACAGAGAAACCCTGTCTCAAAAAAAAAAAAAAACCAAAACAACAACAAAACAGTATAAATGGAAGAGAGGAAGGCAGCAGTAGTGTGTGGGGATTGCTTTTCTTTGCAGTGTATAAAGAATATAGCAACTGGACTGTGATGAACACACCTTTAATGCCCTGGTAGGCAGAGGCAGGCCTATCTCTGAGTTCAAGGCCAGCCTGATCTACAGAGGGCGTTCCAGGGCAGCCATAGAGAAACCCAATCTCCAAAAAACAAACAAACAAACAAAAAAAGAATAAAGAAAGAAGAATGTGGTGCCGGAAAGACTTGCCCCTCTCCTGAGAGCCCCCCACGGCTTCCCTGTCTTAGCTGCAAAGGTTGAGAAAGCTGAACTAGGGTGGAGGACAATGCCCCTTGAAAAAAGAAAGGGTTGGAGTGAAATTTGTCAGAGGATAAGTTCCTACTTGGCTAGTTAGTGAGGATCTAGCAGGTTAGAGAGAGTGAATTCGCTGTTGGACAGGTGAGCGTGGGTGGTTTGTGGTTAAGAAGGTTCAGAAAGTTTGGGTGGTTCTCAGATGTCTCAACTAGGTAGTCTTTGGAAGTACTGTCAGTTGTTATAAAGAGTAAGAATATTAGGTTTCAAGCATCTTCCATGGTGAAATGAAATACTAAAACTAGAACTGAGGTGGGAGATTTGTCCTGGAATTTTGACTTGGTTTTTTTTGTTTTTGTTTTTGGAGACAAGGGCCCACTTGTATTGTAGCCTTGGTGACCTGGAACTCACTTTGTGGACCAGGCTAGTCCCAGACTCATAGAGATCCACGGCTCCCTGCCCCCGCCCCACCCTGTGCTGGGATTAAAAGCATGCACCACCACACCTGGCTGCCTTTGAATTTTTCTGAGATAAAATCAGTGCAAGGATGGTGGCTACATCTTATTTCCAAAAGGCAGGCAGTGATGGTGGAACTCCGTGAGATCAGGATCAGAAGCACACTGGTTGCCCTTGCTGTGAAGACCATATAGTTGAATCATAAGTGCCAGTTCTTTGTTTGTTTGTTTGTTTTTGTTTTTAAAGACAGGGTTTCTCTGTGTAGTCATGGCTGTCCTGAACTTGCTTGTCCTGAACTAGACCTTGCTGGCCTCTGATTCACAGAGGTCTGCCTGCCTCTGCCTCCCTGAGTGCTGGGATTAGAGGGGTACGACACCCATAAGTTCCATTCTAATGACTTCCTTTATAACACAAGGTAGAGCCATGCTAGGGGTGCATGATCTGAATCGGGCCATTTGTAATTGCCAGTGTAACTTGAAGCAAGTTACAGTGTCTCAGATTTTTGTCTGATTATATTCTGAGAACTAAATGAGTTGGCACAATGAGCTCTCAGAACCAGGCATCTAGTGAGTGCTCTACAAATTGCCACTGTTCTCATCAGTGTAAGAAATAAAATCACCAATTTCAGGACTGTGTAGTCATTTCTGTAAGCCCTTTGGTGTTACTGTATGTATTCATATACATCAGTTGAGATTTTATTACATAAGTAATTTCCTGCTTTTTAAAAAAAGCGTTATAAGCATTTTCTTAAGCTACCTAGTTATATTGTCTGCTTTTTTATGACTGTAATGTTTGTGTTAATTTCTCCTAATTAAAGAGTTTTTAACTTTTTGTTGTTATATAAGAAACACTGCAACAAACATCTTTGCATAGAACAATTGCATTTTAGATGTTTCATTATGGTGCTGGTTATCATTCCTGGTTCTGGATTCATATTGCCAGGCTGCTATTGCTTAAGGCAAGTTTTTTTCATGGCGGTGTTTTGAGAGAAGATCCCTATGTAGCCCTAGCTCCACCAGAACACTATATAGATCAGGCTGGCTTCGAACTCAAGAGATCTGGCCTGCCTCTATCTGTGCTGGGATTAATGGTGGGGGCCACTATGCCCTCTCTGCTCTGGGTGGTGTTTGGTGTTATTGCTGTTGCTAATTTTGTGAGTAGTGCTGAAGATCAAACTCATGACCTCGTGCAGTCCCTACATGAGAAGGGACTCAGCAAGTTATGAAGGCTGGCCTTGCGCTAACTCTAGTCCAGGCACCCCTCAAACTTTAATCCACTTCCCATAGCATAAGCTTACAAGCCTCTACTGTTAGGCCTGCTGGCTTGTTGGTTTGTTTTAGGACCAGTCCTGCCGCCACCATCCCAGTGCTGAGACAATATATGTTCACTACTAGGCTAGGCTTGCTTGAGGGAGTTCAGTAATGTTCCTGAAATAAGCAGAAGCAACATAAGGTTAATGCAGTTACCGGTGTGAGATAACGGGGAAGAGAGACAGTAAACACTTTTTCCATTGTAGTATGTCAGGAGTATGTAGACGTCTGCTCTATCTTCTTTTATATAATTTTCATCAGCACAGTCCTGTGCTGCCCATGTTGCTGGGAACAGATGGGTATGCATTTAGCACGAGGGCGAGGTCTGCAAAGCTGACTCTGATTTTACGTCTGTCTAAATAAAGGATGATAGTACTTGTACATTTCTATGTAACACACGTTTTCAAAATGTTAGTATGTAACGACTTAGGGACCATAGACTGTACTGTTAAAATAGTCAGCTGAGTTAGAAGTAATGAATGGGTTTAAGTTACAAAGTTAAATTAAACAGAGCTTAATGTTCCACATTTTAGAAAACGAAAAAAAAATCTTTACCTGGATGGAATATCTATATATTTTTACCTGGATGAGCTGTATTTTACCATATATATTATATTTCATATGGATATATGTCCATATATTTCATACATATATATATATGGATTCTAAAATGAAGATGGCAAACATTTGGGCTCAGCATTCTTAGTAATATTCTCAAACAAATGGGAAAGGAGAAATTACAAATTCAATTAAATTTGGTGACTAAGAGAAGTTTAAAGGCCCATTAAGTAATTGAATTGAAAAATACACTTGATGAAGCCCATTACTGGTGAAATAAATGAAAGTCTTAATGGAAAAATAAGCCAAAAAGACTAGAGCTGTTTAATAGAAGATTTTATGCTGAAAATGAAAGGAAAGAAACCCATACACACAGGCAGTTGAGTGGGATTTTACAGCTGACTAAAACATTAGTAAGATAGTGACATTGCGTCCCTTTATTCTAGGTACACAAATCCCTCCCGCTGGAAGTACTTACCCTACAGAGAACATAGGTTCTTTCTATCTGTATTGGCTTTACTAAAAAGAAATTGTAGAAGAGAAATAATTGAGTACTCTACACTTATGTAGTGTTTATGCAAACAGATGCTTAGCAATAGATGGTGCCAGTCAAATCTTTAAAACTGACCATAAGGTTACAGAGTCACTATCCTTATGCTTTCATTAGGAGTTA